TTTAGCCGTGAAATGAAGTCGGGCCGATGTCGATATTATGGCGAAGTCAGCAAACGTAGAGGCGGGGGTAAATGCTCTCAGTTCAGCATAAATTTGATCTCTTTTAAATTACTGATTTAACTTATAAGTCCCTTTTCGTTTTGGTAATGTTATTAAATTAATAATAGAAAATAATTTGAAAATATTTTTTACTCGTATATATATTTTGTGACATTATAAATACATTATTATTAGTTAATAATTCTACTTAAATATGTATGTTAGGAAAGGCTATGTGTTGATCTATATCTATACGTTAATTCTATATCTTTATACTAATATACATATAATAATATATATGTAATATGTATATGTAATCAGGTCACATGAAGTCAATATATTAAGGTAGCCGAAGGATCAAATTTCACCCTCTTTATCTGGCATTATTTATTCGATAAATGCATAGAGGTTATAATTGCAATACCTATGCATAGAAATTTATCACAATTTGACAAGATCCTGAAATAAGATCGTCCTTCATCTGAAAAAGTATTAAAAAAAGCATTTTATCATGTATACACCCATAACTAAACAAATATGTCACAGGTGGGTTGCCGTATGAAAATATACTCCATGATATAAATCCATGTTAACTTCTTTGATGAATTTGCTTTTACCGCCTAATACTTCTGTGGCACAAACTGATTTTCTTAAATGTTTAAATAGACTTTGACTTGACGACTCACGATTGCCAGACTTTGACGTCTGGTAATCGTGATTTATGACTGGATTTCGCAAACAATATAAGTTATGTAAACTCCTTTTACTTTATACTGTTATTGATAAATATAAATTAGAATCAAATTTAGAAATAGGTTAAAATAGTAAGGCCCTATAGGTCCAACGATAATTTTCATTAAAGGGGACAAAGTCCCCTCGTCTGTCAAGCCAAGTACCTATTGATGATTTTTTTTATTTACCTATTAATAACGATTTAATAAACTTTTGTGCTTAACTTCGTTCGATGTTTCTGCTTTCATACAATTTGCGTATACAAAACTTTGATATTTCAATACATATAAAGGGTTTCTTCATGTTTATCAGGTCTTGCTGTAGAAATGGCCTAAAAAATTGTTCTATATCGACGTGAAAACCGACCAGACTGATCGCACACTCATATGTTATTTGTTTAAAAGATGTTATAAAATTGACAGTTATAGTATTTTTTTTTAAATAAATTTCTAGCTTATTTAATAAGCGAAGTATTTAAATAAATGGGAAAATTTGATTTTTTCCATAAAGTGAAATGAATAGTATTCTGAATATTATAATTCTTATACATACTCGTATATAAATAAGCTTTAGGTTAACATATACTTTTTGCTTTCTTAGATTTACGCGAATATTTGACATTTTAAATAAAACTATCTTTTCGGATTTTGTCGCGGATTTATTTGGATTTTTGTTTCCCGACGTTTCGAATGCTTTACAGCATCCATGGTCACGGGAGAGACTGAGGTGTTACATGTCTTGAATGTATAGTTGTTACAGACAGCCTACCCACAATTAACAAAATGAAAATTGCACCAATTACATTACAATATTTTTTAACTTTAAACATTTTTATAATTTTAATTATAATTGAATATGGAAAATTATTTATTTAATTTTGCTATTATTTTTATAATTATTACAATTTTAAAATATTAATTGGTAATCTATATTTAGTGTTGCCATTATTATATTTATAACCATAAAGAAAAATATAAAATGTAGTATTAATTATTAAAGCCATATAATTGTTCTATGTGTAATTTAAAAAGTTAAAATTAATTAAGGATAATAATTTTAATTTAGTTTGCTATTATTTAAAAACAACTTACTAAGCAACACTATTAATATATACTTTTACAAATGAAAAATGAAAAATATTAGTCTGATAAGCTGTCATTTTGATCTACACAGTATGAACTTACTACATCTGCCTGTCTGTTATGTTTATATTTATTATTTGATTTTATTATATTAATAACAGGATCCCATGACGATGGTAGTACCCAGCCATCTTCCCTATTGAAATTAGGATGTTTTTTAATTTCTATGGCTTCTCGAATCATTCTAGGGCGATATCGGTTTTCTTTCGCCAGGATGTGAGGTCTATCGAAGCGAATATAATGGCTTGGGCGGTCCTGACTATGTTTGCAGACAGCAGATGTTGTATTGCGACGGTGCTTCACATCAGCTATGTGTTCTTTGACCCGGGTTCTAATGGATCTCTTTGTTTGTCCGATGTAAGAGAGCCCACAATCACAATCAAGCTTGTAAACTCCTGCATCTTGTAGAGGGATGTGGCACTTGACAGGTGGTAGAAACTGACTAATTTTCTTTGGCGGCTTGAAGTAAGTTTTAATTGAAGTTCGCTTTAGAATGTAGCCAATCTTGTCAGTGACGCCTCTCATGTAAGGTAGGACTGCAGGGACGCGCTCGACTGTGGCTGGTTTCACTCGGTCCCTGTGACATAGGCGCGGCACTTGCAGCTTGTTGTCTCGCAGAACTTGCTTGACATGTTGCAGCTCTCCGGCCAGGTGTTGCTCGTCACAGATCCCGCGTGCCCTCTGAAACGTCGGGAAACAAAAATCCAAATAAATCCGCGACAAAATCCGAAAAGATAGTTTTATTTAAAATATACTTTTTGGTTAGAATTATCTTAATAATTTTTATAAATTATGAAAATATACAGCTACAGTTACAGCAATTAACACGAACAAGTATTAACATTAAACTTTTATGGAAAAAAATTAGGAGGTTGGGACGAATAAAATATAGGTATATATATGACCTAACATTACATTCACTTACATTCATTATTATAATTACGCAATACGTATGTTTTTACCTGTTTTCATCCACAGCACGAAAAAATGTAATATTCGTTTTATTGGATACTAGTATTGCCCGCGGCTCCGCCCGCGTTCAGATGACCAAAAACCAAATTCTTAGGTTTTACATAGGTTAGTATACTCTTTCTTAAAATGCTGTTTTTGTATTTTTTCTCAGAAGTGAGATATTTTCCCACAGTAAAAAGTATCCTATATGTTGACCCGGATAATCAACTATCATCATACCAAATTTCATCAAAATCCCTCCAGTGGTTTTTCCGTGATGCGGTAACAGACAGACAGACAAAAATCCTAAAAACTATAGATTCGGCCTCTGCATCGATAATAATGTTTATTTCAATAAGATTTTCCAAAAAATATTTATTGTACAGATTCGGCTTAGTTACAAATTTATTATATGTATAGATTTTATACACGGTGCATTCTCTAATTTAAAGGTATATTAAAATTTTATTTTAACCGACTTCCAAAAAGGAGGAGGTTCTCAATTCATCGGCATCTTTTTTTTTATGTACATATGTTCACCGATTACTCGAAGACGTCTGAACCGATTTGGAATTATTTTTTGTTTCAAAGGTTATACTTCCCAGGTGGTCCCATATAAATTTTATCGAAATCGGTCGAGCGGTTTTTTAAAAGATTAACAATAAATTATTTTTTTAAATAAATTGTTTAATTGAATATGTTAATAAAAAACTTTCTTTAAAATTACCGGCTTATTACGTCTACATCAAAAAGGGAAAATAAAATCTTAAAAAAAAACGACTTCTAACTATTTCTTACTTCTAACTAAACGGGGGGTTTTATTTAGAATAGATACCTAATCAGATATTTTCGAAGTCGGTGCCAGCCGACATGAATATGTAGGTAAATATGAATTTTAAGTACATATCGAAATATATATATTAGATTTGCTTTGCATCGGGTTTTCAACCCCCGTTTAGGTTTTTTACATTTTAGTGCCTGGAAGTCAGTTTTTTTAAGTTTATTACTTTTTACAACAAATATTACCATGTAAAAGAATAGGTAAGTAGGCTTAGCAGTTTAGGAATTTAATTTCATATTGTATAAAAAAATATTCGCAATTTTCTCAATACTATCCACAATTTTAACTGGTAAATACGCATGTGATTGGATAACCAGCATGTCTCATTTGATACACTTTTTATGTAATGGTTTCGATGCTTATGATTTTAAAATCGACATAAATGTTATATATTGAAAACTGATTTATTGTCGATAATACTATAAATATATGTACAACTTTAACACAATATTATTAAACAGTTTTATTATAATATATTTGTTTAATAGTACCTGGGCGACCAAGCTTCGCTTGGCGTTTCTTTAGGAAAAACACCTATAAATAAACTTAAAAGGCAAAACCTTATTTGAATAGATACAAAATTTGATCCAAATCGTTAAAGTATATATTTAATATAATGAGATTGTAATTACAACTTTTATGATATATAGCAGTTAATTTATGCTATATTTATATTATATTGTGGAGAAGTTTCTGTGTTTGTTTTATGCTATTTTTTGCACGTATTTTTAGTCGTAACATAAAAGAATTCTTCATGTGTATCTTATTCAAATCTCTATTATATGAGAATCTTGAATTTCTCTCGATTTATTGTAATATCTTATTAAGATCAGTATAGCTAGTAAAGCTAAACAAAAAGTTAAAAAGCTATTTAGTTTATGATCTCGTGGTTCTTCAAACGTCAGTGTAGAAACTTAACTCTTATTTTTTAACTGTAGATTTGTTTTACTATAAGAAAGATAACATTTTTTTTATTATATACGGATTAGTATTTTATATAAACCAAATTAAAAGAGATATGATACATTCAAATATTATAATAATTTGCTATATGACCCTGTTAGATTACATTTAAATATTTAGGGGCAATCTTAAGAACTTGATAATAAATAATTCATGTTAAGTTATATACACAATCTTAATTTAAAATCTCAGTTATGTATTAGCATAAACATTAAGCTTGCGCTTCTCGCAAATAATCAGAGTGGAAACATTGATGGGGTCGATACCAACTATATGTACTTTTGGATCTCTGAAAATTTTCTGAAATGTTACAAAACTCCGCCCCTTTACAGTTAAGGCTGCTATTGGTGGATGTACGTCTAGTTCCGTAGAAATATCGACCAATGACGTTGGGGGTTACGCGCAGCCGTAGCTTTCACGTAGAGCGGCGCGGGGTGCTACACGATCGACAGACGCTACGACGGACCTGCTACGCCTAGGAACTGAAAAAATGTAAGTAAAATCATTTATTATATCCATTTTTATATATATCTTGCAATTCTTAGACTAGGTGCTTGAAATCTAAAGATAGACTTATATAGTTGAAATGGTACAGTAAAGGGTCGAGTTGCATAAGCTCTTATACATAATATATAGATGTATGTATATGGGTAAGTATATACATTGCAATGATGAATTATGTAACATTTCCTCATTAGAGTTGATATTATATGATAATTTAAATGTCAAGTTTTTATTTTGCACATTAAATCTATTACGTAATCTTTTGCACTGATTTATACCTCAAACCCAAAAATGAATGTAGTCTTTTTATAATACATAAATTATGTAAATAAGTACTATTCAAAATTAAAATGACATGGCTTGTACCATTGAACGATTTCGTGCTAAAAGATAAAGAGATACTTTTTTCAATGCATATATTTTTTTTGTAAATTCACCTATTTCTCGGGTTTGTTTGACCGATCTGACTAGTTTAAATCGTAATTAACTAAGGCAGATTCCAAGGTGCTCCCATACAACTTTTGTATTTATTTATAGATATACGTAATTCCTTTAAAAGTACAATAATTTAGTATCATTGAACTTATCTGATGATGGAGCTAGGATGTGGTTAGTGGTATTCTTTAATTGCTATAAGACCATCCAGTTCGCTCGTTTGCTTGATCTTGACAGGTTCAATATTTAGGACTTGGATTTGAGCGGCTAGTTTTCAGTGCTCAGTATTTAATAGCAAACGCCTGTTTTTTAGGAGAGGTGTCAAACTAACCAAAATTGCTTTGATAAATACATAATTTTTTTTCGCAATAAAAATAAATAAAATAAGGTAAATAAAATTTAAACCGATCAAGTTACAAGAAATACAAAAATAAATGTTTGTAGTGTTTCATTTACACATCAGATACTTAATCAGATATTTATTTCAACTAAATATAACACAACTAAATATAACACAATCTTTTGGGTAGATACGTATAGAGATCATGAGATCTATGGTTCAAATCTCGAAACGTTACGTTACGTTATTTTATGAGCTTTTATGACAGTTCTGTGCTTTGTCTCTCATTTGTGAACTGAATGATTTTCTTCATGCTATTTCACGAAGACTGTTTATTCATGGAAAGAAACTTGTTTGTCCAACTTGTAAAATTCTAGCATTTATTTGTATTTTGTACAGGCGTTCAAATAGCAACGCGTGAGTGTGGGTACATGAAGAACATCGGGCTTCCGCAATGCAGGAGCTACAAGCAGCGAAAGAGAAGGCCTCTGGTTTTTTCGCTAACAAACCCCTTCTACTAAGGTAAGTCACTCTGTTCAACTTTTTATGAATTTATATATTCTTTTGTCGAAATTTTCTATTATTTCGACAATTATTTCGTCATTTTGCATAAATATGGCCATATTACGTTGATGCGTTAACTCCTACTTCTATGTATGGGTAGATGTTTGCTCTTTTAACCAAGACTATAAATTCAAATAACCTGATAGAAAGAAACCCAATTGTGTTAAATCACATGATCTACGGGGCCAATTTTGATCACCTAAACGAGAGAGTACACGGCAAGGAAATGTCACATGCTCCTCTTACAGTTCTCCTTTTACAGTTGAAGAAGTAAAATCAATATTTCTACCATATATTGTATGAAACTGTTACAGCCAAACTTTTATTATTTTTGAAATATTATCCAACAATGAAAACGCGTTGTTATTTTGTGGAGTGCACCAATTTTACTGGCCCTATACTCTAGCTATTGACATTTTTTCATTTATTTTGGTTCCCAATACTTACCACGCAAACGGCGGCAAATTTAAATCCTACGTGAATTTTGAGACATCTTTATAAATATAATAACTATAATATTTTAGATTCAATATTAGAAAAAGTAACATAATATAACAATATACATGCAAAATAATGATAAAAATAACAAGTGTGAGTCTGACTCGCACACCGAGAGTTTCGTAGCATGAAACATTAAAATAAGTTAAGAATCACCTAAAAATATTTTTTTTTAATATATCGTAACTACAAATTTTGTGGTTTTGGATTTTTCCATTTACTTGTGCTATAAGACATTGCCTATTGGTAAATTTCGTGATATGTCTTAGAAACCCAAGTATCTACCCTATAGGTTTTGATTCCCTTGGGAGTGTCAAAATATGCGGTATAAAAGATTTTAGAACGGCTTTTTATGGCGTTTACTTAGATGTTTGATTTTTTTCAGATCCAAGGGGTTGTAAACAGTATTTTATATTAATTTCAACTTGATATCTTCCCACGTCCCTGAGAAAAAGGGTATTGATAGACTGAAAGACAGACGAACTGTTTCTTTAATATTTTGGAATAAACTAAGGCTTTTCTTGCATCTGTTACCTACGGGTTCAAATTGTGATTGATCATTAAGTCAGCAGCCCTTAGGCTCAAAAAATTGCTCATAAAATCTAGAGTAGGAGAAATAGTCATTTGTAAGTTTAAGATTTATAAAATATATAAAAGGTTAAATATTAAAATAATATTAATACCTCTTGAATTGACCGATATCAGTCACGGTGATTCCGGAATGCTACTGAAAATTTCTCAACAGAAAACCATACTTCTCTAATAGACTCGCTAATCGAACCCAGGACCTCCGGATTTGCAGCTAAACATACTAGCTGCTAAAAAAACGACTTAATTGGATTGGTTCATCGTATTACGGTATTAAAAAGACTGATTGCCCTGATAATAGATTTAAACATTAAGAATAAAAAATTGCATTTATTGTCTACTAGCAGAACCCGCGGCTGCGCTCGCGGTGAAACTACAATAAAGTACATTTCATACAAACTTTCATCCCCTGTTTTACCTGCTTATGGGATGAATTTCGAAAAATGCTCAAACACGTGTTTATAATTGTATTGAAGAGCACACTGCCAAGTTTGAAGTAATTCTGTTCATAAATATTTTTTTGTATTGTACTATAACGTGTTTTACCGTGGGAATGAGATGATCTCTTGCGGAAAAAAGTAGCCTACGTTACTCTCTAGCTCTCCAACCATCACCACACAAAAAATCACGCCAATCTGTCGCTCTGTTTCAAAGTGAAAGAAGGACAAACAAACAAACACACTTTTACATTTATAATATTAGTATGGATTTATTGCAGTTTTTAAGAAGGATTTTTTCATATTGACGGGCATGATAATTAAGTTTAAAATAAAAAATAAAAAATATATATATGACAATCTTGTCAGGGATTATTATTATTAACATCTTGTGTCTTAATTTGCAACCAACTTTAAAAAAGGAGGAGTTTCTCGATTTGTCGGAATCTTTTTTTATGAATTTCAAAAATATCTGATTAAGTATCTATGTAGTTTAGTTATTTTTTACTTTTTAGTGCTTGGAGGTCGATTTTTATTTATTTAAAAAAATATCATAGAATTGGAGGGTTAAGATGTATTTATAATCACGGTTGTTTTATTTAAATTCATGAATTCATAAAATATGTATTAGCAATTAGGTTCTTAAATATGTATACATTTATGTAATTTTTACCGGACTGCGCGACGCAAAGTAGGGTAAAGTGTTTATCAGTCTATACGTATATTAGTTAGTCTATGTTTGTTCCTATAAGGTGTTCTAGAGACCAAACTCGTGGGCTGATTTTGATGATTCATACGTTCGTCGTTAGATTTTTCTTGATAACGCGTGTATTATACGCTATATAAAAATAGTTTAAAGTTTCAGACGCCAATTTGTGTCTTAAAAAAAATCTTCCAAGCCAATCGAGTGGGGTATGAAAATAGTAGTTTTTAAGAGGAGGCGTTAACAAAAATATGTACAACTTATGAGTTTAAAAGCAATTTAGGATACAAAATTGCACATACAATAATTGGAAAAAATTAAAAAGTTGTAAAAAAATATATAATAAAAAAATATATTCCTTTGTCAACTTTTCTTTTTTCTTTTTGTCAAGTTTTCGTCTTTTTAGTTAGTTTTTATTATTTTTTATATAAACTTCATATAAATGATATCAACAATAACAACAGAGATACTGCAGCAATTTTGCTTGAAATAGTTGATCGTCAATAATATTGACAGCGGATAATACGCGCTGCAATAGAAATAAGGGCGAAATCACAAACTTGTCTTTAACGAATATTGTGCGCTGCGTGCGCTGCAGGGTCATCACTCAATGTTTTTGTAAACTCTTACTGAAATAACAAAGTGATTGTATGTCAGCTATGCCGAATGAATTATTTCATACAGTAGATATTATATGTTTTAGCTTTAATTTTAAATAGACTAACGTTGTACTTGTGATACCACTTACCCGTAATGTAATAGAGCAAGTGACTATTATATTTTAATTTATTTGTAAACATATAAGAGCTAAAATTGGTAATTGATTATGTGAATTTTTATACTTCAATACATATTCTAATAATTAAATTATTTTTCTTTAAACTAAATAAGGTTTACAACGTACTTTTTTCAAACTAATTACAAAATACTCTTATAACATTCAATCTACAATCAATAGAAAATAAACAGTTAAGACTTTTGAGTTTACTAGAAAGAAAGAGTGTAACGAAGAAGTTTCCAATGTTTATGTATGTATTATAAAAATTTGAGTAAAATATAACGAAAATGTGAAAGAATTATTAAAATATCTCAACAAATTATAAAGCTTTAAAGTGCGCCTGTAAGAATAATTTCGTGACGTCACACGACCTGAACGGACGAAATTAAAATTAATTTCTCAGTGATTTATTAATAGATTTCAAAAAATATTTCATTGATATTTTTGATCTATATTATACTTCCATTGCGTTAAATACGATATTAACAACATCATGAAACTTCTTCATTGCAAGTTCAGTTATTACCTATTATACTATCTATGCTACAAAAACACTTAAAATAATTTTGTAAGTTTCATAAATGACAAATCGGCTTTTGTGTCTAACAAGAGTTAAGGCAGATAATCGACAATCGTCTTATGGAATCAAATGGAGTGAACGCACAAGTAATGCGATTATTTGTATCGCAGCCCTGGCCGCGGGCGCCCGACTGCTCCACGCTGATAACAAACAGATAGATCCGGATTTGTGTCGTCATGCGAAACACTCGTTGTTTTGTAGCTACTAGATATACGCATTTGAACAAAAAGTTATTTGAACGAAAATATGATAAATTCTTCTATGTATAGCTATTTCGAGGAATATAGTGCTTGTAGATGAAGAGGTTTATAATATTCTCTTTCTTTTTTTTCTAAACTATAAATAGTAACAATCATCATACTGTATAAGAAAATACTATCAATATCAATACTAATATTATAAATGTGAAAGTGGGTTTGTTTGTTAGTTTGTTTGTCCTACTTTCACGTCGAAACAGAGTGATGGATCGGCGTGATTTTTTGTGTGGAGATAGTTGAATGGCTAGAGAGTGACGTAGGCTGGAGGTAGTACTTTTTACCGCGGAAAATTATCTCTTTTCCACAGGAAAACACGTTTTAATAAAACCTTAAAAATATATTTATAATCCTAATTACTCGAAACTTGGTATTAATGCTCTTAATGCAACTAAATAAATACGTGTTTTAGAATTTTTGGAAATTTATCCCATAAGGGGGTAAAATAGGAAATGAAAGTTTGTATGAAACCTACCTTTTAAGAGTTTTTTATAGTTTTAGGGTGTGCGGATATTTTTTTCGCCTTTTAAATTGGAATTCTCTTATAAAATAATTATAAGGGAATTCCAAGTTCCATTCCATAGTTTTTATTTTTAAAACGTGTACAAAAAAAAATTATATACCTGTATAATCACTAGTGGTAGTATAAGGTAGCATTTATTTTTACTTTATTTCATTTAATTAAAAGCACTATTGTGTGTGTTGTTGTGTTTAATTCTAATGCTATGTACCTATATCTTAACGTTTGTTATGCAACACTTAATCATTGCCTGTGACGAATTTGATCACTGTGCAGTTTGCTTAAATTAGTGATCATAAAAGTAAATATCGATGAGCGTATACGATGAATGGACATGTCGTGTACTGGATCAGTCCAGCTCTAATATAGAAGTGGTATAAGGTAAATTATGTTTATTAACACTATATGTCTTTAACTATTTTTAACGGTCCACTGCTAGGCGGGGACCTCTCTTTAATGAGAGAGGATTTAGACCACAATTACCTTGACCAAGTGCAGATTGTCGAAATTTATTTGTTTTTCAAAAATTCGCAACTTAACAAAAAAACTTCTCTCTGACATGCAGACTTCTTCACGATGTTTTCCTACACTGTAGGGCAA